ATAATAGTATTCTGTGCATGCGTTGTATAATGGGGGTTGTTAAAGTCGAGCACCGTGTTTGAGGTACGAGATTTTAAGATCTAATTATGTAGTTATAAAATATCTACTACAGACAGACAGACACTCACACACCAGACATACTTTTTGTTAATTGTTAAGTGCTTCCATTCTAAGTCTAAGTAGTGGGGGAGGCCTGAAAGCTACAGCACAGGTTTCGACCTAGTTTAGATTTCAGCTTCCTGACAAACTATAATTATCTAATAAACAACTAGTACTTATTAATATATTTAACACAAAGTTTTGTAGTTTGTGATGGTAGAAATAAACTATTTTTTCATTTTCATTTCTACGAGTAAATAAAATAATGAAACACAATCAATGTTTATTGTATATTTTGTTATCCATGACAACAAACTCAAAACTAAGCCGAATAAACGCAACAAAAAAAAAACAGAGAAATATTAGATCATTTAGAACCCATTTTTTATAAGGGTTTATGGCCCTATTGCAAGACTTTTAGGCCAATTTAACCAACCAGGAGGCGGTTATTTTAATTAGCAAAAATACGACGTTCTTTTTTCAATGAATTTTTTTATTTCAGTACTATAGATAATAGAATTTTAATACAGGGCTAAAAAGAGCGTCTTCGTGATATGGTTTAAAAAATTAAAATTGACAAATTATAGTCAGGAGTAGAAAAAGTTTTACCGCAATTTGATTAATAATAATGGGATACATACAGGACAAGCTTATGTATTTATTTATTTTGTACAACTTTTAACTAAATATGTAAGTCGTAGTCATATACAGTTTCAGTCAATCATCGGGCAAAAGTAAGTTGCGGAAATTGGACCACAGAGCTTTAGGCGGTGACCGTCGCCTATCCAAATAGTATAACCAGCGGATGTCAGAAATTTTGATTCAATGTTACTGAACACGTTATATCGTTTGTCGTATTTAAGGATTCTTGTGACTGGTGGAGTAGTACTTTATATTTCAGTACATAATTTTCTTTAGTTGGGTTTAACAGGATAATTGGTGTGATATTGTTAGGTTTATTTGGGAAGGGAGCCAGATATTTGGTACGATGGTGTCAAGTTCGTATTCTTAAATGTTCCAGAAAGCCCCAGCTGTATAGTCGTCAGTTGCAGAGATTCAGCGCAATGAGTTTTATATGAATTTTAATATTATTATAGGCGGCCATATTGGAAAATTTTGATTCCGATAATACTTGACCAAGATCATTGTCAATTTTTGTTTTAAAGCCTTTTTTATATAATATCATTTATGTGGGATTGTTAGATCTGAACACATGTACGTGAACGTATCTTAAGGCGGGAGTGAGAGAAAAGGAGTGTGGAAGAGAGAGAGCTGATTCGAAATTATAGAATAGAAGACGAGCGCGATTAGTTTTGCTTTATATTTTGTTTGGGATATTTATTATTACTTTGAGACTGGTATCATGACTGTGGCATCACAGTATACTTACTCAAATATTTAGTATGCCCGTAAAAATACACATAGCTTAATTAAGAAAGAAGATAAAATATTAACCTTAGAACTAAGTCCAAAATCCACCACCACCACCACCACCACCACCACGTACCACAATTTCGTTTAACTAAGGTAAACGGTTCTTTTATGGGGAACTGTATACGTTTTTACAATAAGATTCCGGAGCATATATTAATATTACCATTTACTAAGTTTAAAACTTACATTAAAAGTATTTTAATTGAAAAGTCATATTACAAAATTGTAAACTACGTGTTAGATAAAAATGTATGGAAATACAACATTAGTCTAGATTCCACACAAATATGGTTCAAAGTGTATTCTATAGCATTTAAGTTTATTTGAAAAGAGCAATTCCTAGAGCTTCTTGTTTGTTCTTCTCTGGGAAGTCGGCACAGTGAACGAGCAGTAGTTTAAAAAATTACGTTTTCTTTTATTATCCCCTATTTAACCCCATCTCTAACGCTTTGGACGGATTTGTATGAACATACAAATGCGACAATCGTAAGAAGGAGCAGAGGAAAAATTCCTAATTATCGATTTGATTTTAGAGGGGTATATCCACTTTAAAGTTAAAAATAAAATATTGTATGAGTAACTACACGATATATTCAAGCATAGACATTAATCAGAAACATAAAACAATAAAGTTTCCTCGATAGATAAAAATCACGAAATGACCTCTAATTTTCACATTTTTTCGATTTATCCTCGAAATGCTACAGGTTATTAGGTTTGTCCTATTAGATAATTAATTATATTTATGCATGATCGACAACTGTCACTACGGATTTTTTTTTAATCCCTTTAGTTTTAGAGTTATTCCGCTAAAACGAATTTGGTACTTTTAATGCGCAAAATTCAACATCTCCTGTCGCATGTAGGTTCGGCTAACTAAAGCGCATAAGTCAAAAATACATCTTAATTGTTTTTAATTTACCAACAAAGTCGTTTCGTGTTTTCTATAATGTCGGAACATGTGAAAATGGTGGCAAAAGACACCACTAGCATTTAAGTTTAAACAAATTATTACCATGCTAGGTATCATAACACCCACAAGCAAAAGGCAGTAGTAGCAGAGGTACTTGTGAGGGAAGTCCACCTTGTCACTCCTTTTTATATTATATTCATATTCTTTATTTGCAAGTTACATGCTTACATGCTTATGGTACTTGACATGTAACACCCCGTGGGGGCACTGCAACATTCTGAGGGCATTATATCCTTACTTTACTTAACATTATTAAACTAAAATTAAAAGAAATTCAATAAGAAAATTCTACATTATTTAAATAAAATTAAGAACGATTAATAACAAAAAAAAACCAAACAGAATTTAATGCAATATCAACAATAAATATTACTAATTCCTTTTACATTTACGTCTCAATCCTGATACACTTATGTCTGTCTATTAGACATACTTTAGAAATTATAAACTTGGCAATTCGTTTCAAAGCACAATTTTTTTAAAAGTATTCTTTAAGTGAATAAAAAGCTTTGCTCTGTAGATAGCTCTTTAGATGGATTACAAAGGCCTTATGTGTATCTTGTGTTTTTATATTTATTGGGATCGCATTATATATTTTAATTACCATACAGTGGGGCCCTGAATGGTATATACCTAGAGTACTGAAAGGACGCTATATCTATCGAGATATATCGAATGACGTTGCCAGTCTGAGCTTTAAATCGCCTGAGATATAAGTTAATAAGTACCATGTGCATGTAATTTCACAAGTTATCTTCAAAACTGGAATGCAGTATTGAGAGGATTACTGCATGAAAATTTTAGCAGAATAACAAATATTATCATAATTGCCATTGACTTACAAATAAATGGACGACGGGTCTAATACAAAAACCACGAAAAAAATGTCCCAAGTCAACCTATTTAAACGTAGTGACATGTAAAGGAATATGAAAAAGCTAAAACGTTGAATTTTTTAATTGTAATGTCATCGCAGTATTGTCTAATTTTGCTTGCTTCGCTGTCAGAAGAAACAAACGAAGACTAAAGCGTGAATGACGCTCTGTATATGATTTTAACGCCCTATAAGTTCGGACACTTTTTAGCGCGGACCCGACGTCCATATAATTGTAAGTCGATGATAATTGCAATATAAGTTCGTGGCAGTAAAGCGTCCAGGGAAGAACTGCCACCTGACCTATTTCTGTCGCCAATCGATAATGTAAACATTACTGTTTTACGGTTTTAAAGGGCAAGAGGTGAAATTATAGGCACATGGGACTTGTCAACTTATGTATCAGGGTGACGGGCGCAGTGACAGTGTACCTCCGGACTTTCCGGCTTAAAGCTCTGAGTGGCACTGCAACTGCTATGACCAGGCGTGTCGCTTACCATCAGGCGCACAACTAGTTCGTCTCGTCCACATGTGATACGGCTAAAGTGCTTAATATCACAAGAAAGCCATCATCGTCTAATATTATTAAATAAAAAACTGACTTTAAAAGGAATTACATCTATATGATAAGTTTTATTAAGATCGGTAAGAGGGAAGTACGCGAAACTGGATTCATCCCCAAGTTAGCCACTCTTAGGGATGGAATGTTTTCTTTAAATTTAAATGGGACATATACACAAAAAAATACAGTAGAATTGAGAACTTCCTCCTATTTTGAAGTCGGTTAAAAATAACTTTTATCAAACATTTTATGTACAATGTACATGTGAAATTTAAGGACACCTAGTTAAGAGGGAGCAGAGGAAAAATTCCTAATCTTCGATTTGATTTTAGAGGGGTATATCCACTTTAAAGTTAAAAATAAAATATTGTACGAGTAACTACGCGATATATTCAAGCATAGACATTAAGCAGAAACATAAAACAATAAAGTTTCCTCGATAGATAAAAATCACGAAATGACCTCTAATTTTCACATTTTTTCGATTCATCCTCGAAATGCTACAGGTTATTAGGACAAAAATTAGATAATTAATTATATTTATGCATGATCGAGAACTGTCACTGCGGATGTTTTTTAATCCCTTTAGTTTTAGAGTCATTCCGCTAAAACGAATTTGGTACTTTTAATGCGCAAAATTCAACATCTCCTGTCGCATGACACGCGAACTTCACGCATATATTTGTTTCACAAATTTTGGCGGAGCCAACGTTAAAACTTTTTTGGCATGCTCCCTCTTAAGCATAAAGAAGTTGACTAATTTTATTTGAGTATCTTTAAACTCTTTCCTGAAAAGATGTAATTTTACAGATGTGACCATATTCCAACAAGGGAGCGATTTAATTGGTTCTTGATTGCACCATGCTAACTTTACTTACGTGTTAGCAGCTGCGCACAGCCCTCTATAACATCCCAATAATTTAAACACCCATACTAAAACCTCCACATATCCCATACAAAAACACGCACACGCAAAAAATATGGATCACAAAACATCATGCAAATTGAGCGTATATAAGTCATCGGCGCACGCGCATCGTCGCAGTTGCGGTGAGCTCAGGCCCGGACGTACACTTATAAAATTTCTTTTAAAAGAAAAAAACATGAGTGCGTTCATAGTTCTTTCCATAGCGGCTTTAATAGCCTTCATATATAGATTCTTTTCGGAAAAAACCATTCACCTGAAAAGAATATCGAAATATGGTAATGGAAAGATAGAGGTGTTGAAGTCGCCCCCGGGGCCTGTGGCTTTGCCCGTAGTTGGCAGTTTACATTTACTGGGAAAACATGAATCGCCTTTCCAGTCTTTTACTGAATTGGCTAAAGATTATGGGGACATTTTCAAACTAACTTTGGGCAGTTCTAAGTGCGTTGTAGTCAATAATCTAGACTTGATCAGGGAAGTTTTGAATGAGAATGGCAAGTTCTTCGGAGGGCGGCCAGACTTCTTACGATTCCACAAGCTGTTTGACGGTGATAGAAACAATTGTAAGTACATTGTTTTTCTTTTTATAATTGTAACATTTTTATTTAAGAAAAAAAAACTTTAAACATTATAAGTTCCAGTTTGGCAGGATAAATAATTGGTATAACTCGCCTCGCACTATGGAATCCCTGTGTCGCGGGTGCCATGGACACACACATAAATACATAAATTACACCCAAACTCACGAGAGAAACATATGTAGGCCATACAAATATTTCTCCCGACCCGGGAATCGAACCCGGGACCTCTGCGTGGCATTCCGGCATGGTAAACGTTCGGCCACGGAGGCAGTTTGATTATGAATAAATAAATTTAAAAAAATCCCATAATAAAAAATAATCTTCGAAATTAACATACCCACAAAAGAAATGCATAGAATTCAGAACCTTCTCCTTTTTTTGAAGTCAGTTAGCAACTATAATAAGCAATTATTTATTAAGTCCACGATTCTCAAACATCACATTGCACTCCCATATAGTACTGATAACACTAATAAAAGACAGAAAGATATTGTCTGTAATTATTAATGCAAAGAGTGAACACTTACCAAAAATTCCTTTGATCCGGCCGGATTCGAACGTCTTCTAGCAAACCGTGGCGGACGCTACGTATGTCATGCTCCCTCACGATTTTTTCTATGTGCTTGTTTGTTGAATCTTTGTATTTTGTTTTTCAACGACTTTTTAGCCGTAGCGCCATCTATGAGAAATATTTTTGATCGATTTTGTATTTATTTATTCAGAAAAAATCATCATAATATAATAGTTGCTTACCACGCCAAATTTGAAAAAGTACGTTGGCGAGCACGCTCTTACATAAATGTAAGCAATTCTTAATATATAACTCTAGCTAAGTAGGTACAGTGACATTTCTCCATAAGTTTTTCAACTCAATTTCATGTAATATCATTTAATTATTTGTTTTGATTATTTGCTTACTACTTAGAGGATTTCCCCACAAGAACTCCATGTCATTATGTATTCGTGGAACTACATATTTATTACAGACTACATTAAAAATATTTTGATCGAAAAATCATATTACAAAGTTGAAGACTACGTGTTAGATAAAGATGTATGGGAAGACGACATGGCTCCAGAAACCACACAAATTTGATTCAAAGTGTATTCCATAGCATTTAAGTTTATTTGAAAAGAGCAATCCCTAGAGTTTCTTGCTCGTTCTTCTCAGGGAGGTCAGCGTAGTGAACGAGCAGTAGCTTAAATGTGACGTTTTCAAGTGTAAATTTATTTTACCTATGGAATAAATAATCTTTGACTTTGACTTTGATTAAGTCTACGCCCGGTAAATGGTTTCTTATTAGAGGTCCCATTGAAGTTCGAAGAAAATATTCCACCTGTAAGGATAGCAAGTTAGGGGATTCGGATATACCCGAATTTTCCTTTTATTTCATAACGAAGTCTATAGTGACGAATATCTTTCCGAGATTGCTTTGTTACCAATTTAAACATATATATCTTTTTTATAACAAAAAAACTCACCTCAAAAATTTGTAAAATTACATCTATTTGCCAAGTTTTATCGAAATCGGTTAATGAAAAGTGGGTGAGATCCAGTAAACGGACTCATCCCCTAATTTTCTACCCTTCTTCGAAATAAAAGATACCGTTGAATTGTGAACCTCCTCCTTTTTTCCTACTTCAAAAAAGGAAGAAAGTCTCAATTCTCACAATTCACAGTATTTTTTGTTTGGTTGTGGGTTTAGTTACTCTGGCATTTGAGAACGGATTTTCATGATTCTTTTTTGTTGGAAAGTGGGTACCTCGATATTGGTCCCATTTAAATTTAAACAATTGACGACACCCATCAATTGTTTCGAATTCATAGCAATGATATGGCAGAATAGTTTTCAAACAAATTAAACGACTTTTCTTCTCTATTTCTGGTTATATACTCGATGTCGTGAGGTAACCTACACACGTCTGCAAAGCAATTTAATGAATATGTGTGGGTTCCCGACCATTATTGCAACTACTCAATTACAACTCAAGCCTTCCGTTGTGAGTGGAGGCCTGTGCCCTGTAGTGGGACTATATTATACAGGCTTGCTTTATTTATTGTTATACCTATATACTCTCACCGGCCCATTTATCGGAACGAATAAATTTGAGAATATAAATCAGTAACGTATTTGTTTAAATAAACAAGAATCAAACATATATGTAGCAATTTGATCTGAATTTTAATTGCTAGAAGATATTAAGAGATACTAAGAAGATAGGATTAAATTACATAAATAAAATTTTATCCAATAAATTAATAGACTGTCTGGGAAACCCAAGGGCAGGTACCTTGACCAATGCATTAGCATAGCCATACAAGGGGGAACCCTAGAATTAACATCTCTAAAATCGACTTAGCACAGCCTTAATCAATCTTTATTGAGAAAGACTGAAATCAAACAAAATGCTTATTATAATTATTAATACAAAGATCGAACACTCGGAAAAAATTCCTTCGATCCGGCCGGATTCGAACCGACGTCTTCTAGCATACCGTGCCGCTATACCAACTAAGCCACTGAACGAACCAGCGGACCTCACGAGTTCTTCTATGTGCGTGTTGTTGTGTCTTTGTATTTGGTTTTTTAGCGACTTTTTAGTCTATGAAAAGTCTATGAAAGTTTTATAATTATAATTTAATAGTTTTATTTAAGTTTCTGAGTGTTCGATCTTTGTATTAATAATTACAATAAACTAGTAGAGTAATTTCACAAAAAATAACTGAATATCAATTCAATAAAAACTTAAAAATGCTTATTTTAGATTTTTTGATAAAAAAAAAACATATAACAACAAAACATCTCATAGAAGGCGCTACGGCTCAAAAGTCGTTGAAAACCAAATACAAAGATCCGACAAACAAGCACATGAAAAAATACGTGAGGTCCGCTGGTTCGTTCCGTGGCTTAATTGGTATAGCGTCTGGCACGGTTTGCTTGAAAACAAACTAGTGGAGTAATTTCACTAAAAATAATTGAATATCGTAGTGATGAAATATTCTGACATTAAAAAAAAACTTTAATTTTAATAAATAAAACCGATTCAAATGAAGTTTACGGACCAGAACATAAAATTAACCTCGAATCACTCGACGTGTAACCGGTACTCCAATTCTGCTAATTTAAAATCACCGCAGTTGTGCGTCGATAGAGTGGCAATGGCAGGTTTTTTTACGTTTGGTATCCCTAAAACTTAAGAGTAGAGGCTTCTCAGTGGCTAGCCATCGAGCTACCATTCAACTGTCTTTACAATGTTTTGGTATTCTGCTCTTCAATGGCAAATCGATGGCGTAGTGCACTAATATTGTATTGGGGAGAAAATAAACAAACTTATTATTATTGTTATTTACTTTAGTCTTCTCAGCTTCTGAGCTGGTTTAAACCATATTTACATTTATTATTATTATTCAATTTGAAGACTACAGTGCTCACTAAACGAGTTAAGCTATGAATAGTAATTTCCATGATAGTTTTAATAAGGCAACGTTAGTAAATGAATGAATGCCATCACTCAAATTCTACTCAATCGAGACTCAACTGCCAATTGCAACTAGATTTTAGTGGAATAACAAATATTATCATAATTACAATATAATCTAGATGCAGTAGAGTTCCTTGTGAACGAGTTCGTCCAGGGAAGTACTGCCTACTACATATTTCTGCCGCCATGCAGTAATGTGAACAATAATAATGTGGACTTGTCAACCTATATCTCAATACAAATGACAAAGCAAAGACAATGAACAAAATAGAAAGGTTAAAGAACCGACCAGACTTTTAAAATAAGATTGCACTATTTTGAGAATTTAATACAGTTCGGTTGTATGTGTATTATTATTTTTATATAAGACGTGTCAATACTCAATGCTCAATATATTTATTGCATTCATATGGTAAACATGTCTTAAATTTAAAATAATGCTACACAAATGAGCCCTTTATTAGGGATAACAATAACAGCAGAGGTAGGCCGAGGTTTCAATTATTAATTAAATTGTTATTTATCAAATAATAATATAAAAAAAAAAGTCATATAATAATAAAGAAATACGTCATATTATGAGAGTAGAATTATGTCACTTGAAAGTTTGGATTTAATTAGATTATAATTATAGATATATAATTATATATTATAAAGTCATGCCACTGTAGTGCTACTACAGTAGCATTACCCCATAGTATATAATTAACATTTATTTATTATTCAAATTTATTATAATGTTATTATTTTTATTTGTCATCAAAACCTTTGATGTGTTAAACCTTTAATCCACTTAGGACCAACATAGTTTAATATATCTTTGGAAAGACCCATGGACGTGGACGTACGTGTGTTGATACGGAACTCTAGTGCACGCTAACCCATGTCTCGCATCCAAAATTGACGTTGTATTTTTTTTATGATATTAGTTGCAGTACCACTCAGGGATTTAAATCTGATGAGCACTGCCCCTGCGCCTGTCACCCTGTGACATAAGTGGACAAGTCCCATGTACCTGTAATTTCACCAGTACCCTTCAAAATCGAAACACAATAATGCTGAGTTTGTCCAGGGCAGTACTGCCACCTTATCAATTTCTGCCGCCAAGCAGTAATGTCAGCATTACTGTGCTCCGGTTTTGAAGGGTCCTGGCGAAATTGCAGGCACATGGGACTTGTCCACTTATTTATGTCATGACAGGCGCAGGGGCAGTGGCCCTACGGTCTTTGCAGTTTAAAGTTCTGAGTGGCACTGCAACTGCTGTGGACAGGCGCATAGCTTATCATCAGGCGCACGACTTGTTCATCCCGTTACTTAATATTATAAAAAGAACTTAGTTATTGAACCATCGTGTACATTAGAAACTGGGTCAATCTATTATTTTGTCTAGAACGATATTTACGCAATAGAAATATAACACCTAAAACTCACTTCCGTCGTCATATTTCTATTAGCAAACAATAACTACAGCTCAAAAAGATAATTCTGATATTTATTTTTGTTGAACATCATGATTATTTTACTACGGTGATCATTGACTTACAATTATATGGACGTCGGGTCCGCGCTAAAAAGTGTCCGAACTTATAGGGCGTTAAAATCGTATACAGAGCGTCATTCACGCTTTAGTCTTCGTTTGTTCGACTGACAGCGAAGCAAGCAGAATTAGACAGTACTGCGATGACATTACAATTTAAATTCAACGTTTTAGCTTTTTCATATTCCTTTACATGTCACTACGTTTAAATAGGTTGACTTGGGACATTTTTTTCGTGGTTTTTGTATTAGACCCGTCGTCCATTTATTTGTAAGTCAATGACGGTGTAAATAATCTTTCTTAACCGACAACAAAACAGCAGGAGGTCCGCAATTCGACTGTTTTAGGGACGAACCACAAAGCTGCGAAAGCAGAAAACTGCAAAGCGATTTCGTGCGACAAGGAATCTCACTTCCACAGTTCGGGTAACCAATCCTTCGACGATCGTCAACGGCACTAAACGTATTTTTTAAACTAGGCATCGATAGGGATCCTTAAAAGGGTGTTGCACTGCTGTTATTGATAATCAAATATAGGAAAAAAAAAACACGAAGAATTCGCGAATTCTTGCGATGAGTAGTGCGAGCTTGTAGATTTCTACGATGCGACGTCGTGTCGCGTCGCACTTTTGTGTTTCGACCCTTATTTGCGTGTATATATTACGTGATTACTTCTATTACATTACTCCAGTTATCACGTAGTGTAAAACGTCGAAAATTATCGGGAATTGAATCCAAGACTTCTTTATCCAGAGCATTTTAACCGCTGGACCACCTACGGAGGTTTAAACCATGAAATACTAAACGAAACGTCGTTGTTAACTGCGGATGAAACGCATTCAGCATCTTATTACTAACTTTTTAACGACTAACTGAACGGTTTACTATTTGTAACATTACGCGCCCTACTCACAAAGTCACCTTGACCTATGGACAATTCAACCTTCATTCAAGAAAGAGAGTTCAAAAAGTTACCCGCAAAATACATATAATGTAACAAATTTCGATTGACTTGATTGTACCCGGCTAACCCTACAATTAGAAGAAACCCGTGCTCAGTTGTGGTATCTAATACTTAAGAAACTTACGCACGAAAGTTTCATGGGAAGTTTTAATGGGACTTGTCAACTTATGTGATAGGCGCAGTGGCCCTTCAGAAGTTTGCAATTTAAAGCTCTGAATGGCACCGCAACTGTTATGGACAGGCGTGTCGCTTACCACCAGGCGCGTGACTTGTACGTCCCATTATTTGGTGTCATAATAATCTCAGTACAGAATACTAAAAAACCGGCCTCAAACGTTCGTGACATTACGTTGCCATTGAATGTTTCTTCAAATTTAAATGGTACCAATACTGAGGTTCACAAATGCCGTTTTTTGAAGTCGTGCGAGTTTTTTTGAAGTCGGTTAAAAAAGTGTAATCTTATAAAATACACACAAACTTAATTTTTTATAAATATAAAAGTCTTCGTTTTTAAAGTGCTGTTAAAAATGGTGCATCGCCTTAAATTACTCCTTAAAAAGAGACCCGTGTGCAGCGTAAGCGTATTTACTGGTTGATACAAAACTGCGCTACATCTTAGCTGCATAGAATTATTTAGAATGCGCATTGTAATGTATCCATACATCATCATAATATTGCACTCTGCAGCAGAGCTGTGTTATTGTTTAATGCATCTTTTAGAGCGTGTATACACGATCTACAATTTCTGGCCCTATTAGGCCACAAAATGTGGCCCTGTAAACCACATCTCGCTTTCAACAGATGCTTTTTAATTTCAATTCTGTAGTCCAAATAGAATTTGTTTATAAGTACAATTTTACCATACTTTAGAGTCGCGGACGCTTTTTTTTATTTTTTATGATGTATTTTATCATCAAGTTACGGGACGAACAAGTCGTGCGTAAACAGTTGCAGTGCAACTTAGAGCTTTTTGTCACAAAGATCTTAGGGGCACTGCCACATTGCCCGTCACCCAGCGACATAAGTTGAAAAACCGGAACTTAGTACAATGCTCACACTACTGCTTGGCGGCAGAAAAAGGTAAGATGACCGTACTTGCCTAGACGAATTCTTTCATAAAGAGCACTACTGCTATTAGAAACGTGTCAATGGGTATGGTATAATGACTTATTTGAATAAAAAAGGGGGGCGCGCGGCCAGCCGCCCGTGACTAGCCGCTTATTGGAAAATGCGTGTAAGTGTGGCGGCCATTTTCTACCGTCCACTAACTAAAAGCGGCTAAGTGACAAATGGACAAATATCCGTTTTAAATAGCAAAAGATAGAGCGCAAAATTCTCTTTTAAAAGACACAAGACAGTTAAAATTAGTTAACCTGTTCGACTTATCGGAACTTACACTGACAATTTCAAAAACAGTTTCAATGCTCTAAAATTTTTATGATATTTAAAAAAAAATATTTCGTCACTTACCTCGTTTTAGTTAACGAGCAGTTTTGTGGTCAAGTCTACTTCATATTGTGGTCCAAATACGGATCATGTAGATATGCCCTTACACTTGTCCAGTTTTTCATATTCGCTCGCTTTTATTTATAAGTTGTTTATCATTTTTTTTTGTTAATGTATGATAATTTGATGCAGTATTATGGAGATGCGTGTTATTGAAGCATTCACTGGAAGACTTAAAATTCGTCAAGTGTCAGTACGTTTTTGTTTTTGTTTATCTATAATTAATATTCGTTTTGATTTAATAAAGAATTGTAATTTTTAAATTTAAGTATTAAATATCACGATGTTGTACACCGTGATATTCAATATTTTTTTTGTGCAATTGCTCTACTCGTTTGTAATAATTAATGATACAAAGATTACACACAAAGAAAAATACCTTTGATCCGAATGAAGAGAAACTTTCATAGATTATTAACAGATGGCGCTAAAAAAAGTCCTTTAAAACCAATATTTTATCTTATTTGCTGTTGCGGCGGCGAAGATTAAATTGTTTATTTCTATATAAAAACACTAATTGTTTTGCTTACTATTCTAAAGTTATAATCTCAATACAATAAGTTTTTAGCACTTTAGTTAGCTTCTCACCTTAACCTACATGTATTACAATTTGTTTTTACTTAATTACTATAAATCGAATTACATTAAGGCGTATTACTTCTCTGAGCAGACATCATTCCCAGTTCTGTGTTGATCTAGAATAAAATAACGCTTTACAATTAGACACGCAAAATAGGCGCCTTGACGTCGAGTTGCGGACACTAGCCCGTTACACCAAAAAACGCTTTACAATTCTTTTGGTTTGCTTTTTATATGTTATATGTTCGGTAATTTAAATGCACTATTTTTAGGCAATATCGCATCAGGCAGCATCAACCAAAAAATATGTCGGGGCCGGTTTGCGCCACCATTGGGCACAGCAAAATTATGCTTTACCTCTTTCCAATTAACCTATTTATTATCTTATGTAATCTTTGTTGCCAGTTCTGATTATTTCAATACAATTCATCAGAAATAATTTCATTGCTTTACTTTCTTAAACTCGTATCTTAAAGCACAAAGTTACTGCAATTAAAAAAAATGGATTGTATATACAAATTTTGCAGGCTGGTATCATATTTCCTTCTATATATTCACACACTGGCTTTTACCTATTCTTAAAGTAACGCATCCAAATTAAACACCCTTGATAAGAAATTTAAAATAAATATAAAGTTTTGCCATCCTCCTGAATAATCACTCTTTAATAAATACGAGTTTGAGAAAGTAAGGCATCGATTGGCTATGTTGATTCTCGTTTTTTTATTATGTACATTTGTAGTTCTTTTTTAACCGACTTCAAAAAAGGAGGAAGTTCTCAATTCAACTGTATGTTCTTTTTTTTTGTATGTACGTTACGCGATATACTCCGGTATTTGTGAACCGATTTTCATGATTCTTTTTTGTTGGAAAGGGGGTACTTCCATAGTGGTCCCATTTCATTTTGAGGAAAATCATCCACCTCTATGGCTGGCTGTTCACGCATGAACATTCATTTTTATAAATAGCGCCTAACTGTAATTTAGGAGCAATTACTTTAATGGTTGATTTTGCTATTTCTCCAATTCAAGGCGTTTTTCTCTCAATATACTTTGAGTAGTGAGAACCGATTTTTATTATCTCCTGTGTGGTTGGAATCCAAACCTACGCCTAGTCCCCCAATGATGAAAAGGGGAAGGCGGAGTAGATGACGTTTTCAAGTGTAAATTTATTTAATTTATCAATGACTGTTTGACTTTGATTTATTTTGCTTCCACTTGCCCGATCGCCTTGAAATTTGGTGTAGGTACTTTGGCAATCCGATGACATTGTAGATAATCTGCAGTCCAACTGCTAACAGTAGGAACTATCGTATTAAATTTGAAATGGACTAGTGTTAAGTTACCATCTTTCCTTCTGTTAAGCTGAATAAACGTTTCTTTCTTCTTTCTTTCTTTTCAACAAAAAAGAATTGTTGTAACAAAACACACAAAAAAGTCCAATTGAGACCCTCTTTCTTTTTTTGAAGTCGGTTATAAAACGCATCCATCACCGTCCATTTATAATATTTTCTTATAAAGAGACAATTTTCTATGCATATTTTTTTTGCCCGCAGCTCTCGCCCTCTGCGATTGGTCGAACCTGCAAAAGCGTAGGCGCAACCTAGCACGCCGCCATTGCGGCCCCAAACAGCACACCGACAACTTCAGTCGAATCGGCAGCGTAGCTACCTTCGAGGCTGTTGAGCTTATGCAAACTTTGAAACATATTACCAGGTAAGATTTAAAACAATTTTTATATTTACAGCTTCAGCTTTCTTCTTCCTGTCCTTGTTCCACACTAGGTGGGGTCGACACAACATATATTGTATTTATCGTCCACTAATGGGAAAGACCCTATCAGCCGTCATTTTCATACTCACACCTTTCTTATCCATGTCATCTTTCACACTATACATTCATATTTTCTTTGGCTTTCCTCTCCCCTTATATCCGTCCACATTCATACCTAACATTCTTGTCGTGACATGATAATCGTCCCTCTGCATGACATGTCTAACCACGCTAACCTACTACTCCTCATCTTCTCCCTCACTGGCGCCACTCTCAAGAGTGAAGGATACTTTACCTCCATGAACATCAAATTATGCATGTCTCGACAGGTTTTCACTAGATTATCTAAACACGACCACTTTCACCATACTATAGCTTATAAATACATTATAAACTTCACACCTTTCTCCTATCGGAACAGGCAGAGACAACAGCCTTCTACTTGCTACGATCCTGACCCACATTTTTCGCGTCATTAGCACGCATCAGTGGTTTCATACTCAATAATCATTTAAGGATACACTTGATGTGGCCGTTCTCGAGGGTGTCTTTTATTAGGTCATTGTAAGTTCGCCTAGATCGGCCCTTATTAACTTGTCCGTTCGCTCTCCCCTTATAATTTTGTTTCCTCAATCTTTTTTCATTCATTCTCTACATATCCGAACCATCTAAGCATCCCTATCTCTCTCTATCTTTGACACTACATCTTTTTCCTCGCCAAAATGCACTCCTATCACACTCTTTTGCAATTTGTCCATCAGAGCCGCTCCAGAGTTACTTCTCAAAGCTTTCACTTCCACCGCATTAATTCTGCTATCGTACTTCTTTTGCCAAACCCAACTATAAATTATAGGTCATTAATAAACATTACGTTCTTTGTCATTTCAGATCCACCACATCCGCGGTCAACCTGAAACCCCTCCTTATGTCCACAGCAATGAACATGTTCTCTCACTACATGTGCAACGTTCGATTTGACCCTGAAGACGCCGACTTCAAAAAAGTTGTCGACAATTTTGATGAAATTTTTTGGGAGATCAACCAAGGATATGCTGTTGATTTCATGCCGTGGCTTGCGCCGTTCTACAAAAAACATATGGACAAATTGCAGAACTGGAGTCATGAGATTCGTTCCTTCATTCTGTCAAGAATCGTTGAGCAACGTGAAGTGAATTTGAACACAGAAGGACCGGAAAAAGACTTCTTGGAAGGTCTGTTGAGAGTCCTACGTGATGACCCCACAGTTGATAGGAATACAATCATCTTTATGCTTGAGGACTTTTTAGGAGGACATTCTTCAGTCGGAAACTTGGTAATGCTGTGTCTGGCTGCTGTAGCACGAGACCCTGAAGTCGGAAGAAAGATCAAATCAGAAATAGATTCTGTGACTAAAGGAAAGAGAGCCGTTGGCCTTACTGATCGCAATAGCTTGCCATACACTGAAGCTACTGTTCTTGAATGTTTGAGATATTCTTCGTCTCCTATTGTACCCCATGTAGCGACGGAATCAGCCTCTGTAGCTGGTTATGGTATTGAAGAGGGCACCATTGTCTTTATCAACAACTATGAACTGAACACTTCTGACAAATATTGGGATGAGCCAGAGAAATTTGATCCGTCTAGGTTTTTGGAACGCCGCAAAATCAGAGTTCGAAGAAACTCCCAATGTGATTCTGGTATGGAGTCTGATGGTGAACGTACCGGTGTCGTGGATAAGACCAAAGAGACGGAGAAGGAAGTTGTTTCAGTAAAGAAGAATATACCCCATTTTTTGCCTTTTAGTATTGGGAAAAGGACCTGTATTGGTCAAACTATGGTAACCACTATGAGTTTCGTCATGTTGGCGAATATTTTGCAAGAATATGACATCGCGGCTGAGAATTTAGAGGACTTGAAACAGAAACCTGCTTGCGTAGCTTTGCCCAAAGATACATTTAACCTTTATCTTTTGCCTCGAAAGAATTGAATGATATTGTTTCTCCCTTTTAGGAATGATTCTCGGAAATTGGGCTGCTTTTTAGTGCATTGTAGATTTCTTTTGATATCGATTATTATACTGACGTATACGTGATTTTCTTGTTTTAAAAATAGTCTAATTACAGTAAAAAATAGTGTTGTGAGTGGAAGAATGTAGTTATATACCGACGACCTGTGGTCGAGTGGTTTGAACACCGGTTTTCATAGTGTTGCCATCTTTGAGGCCCCGGGTTCGATCCCCGGCTGGGTGAATATAGAAAACTATTCTATATTTCCTCGGGTCTTACATTTCTGAACTGGCTTCGATGATTATTTTTTGTGGAAAAGGGGGTACCGTTGTGGTCCTATTGAAATGCGAAGAAAATATTTCACCTCTAAGGGATGAATTAGGTTTATTACATTTCATGCACTTTCCGTTAACCGATTTCAGTAAAGCTTGGCAGATGTAATACCACTAATGTTGTTTTTTCTATTATAAAAATGTTATAATTTTGTTTCTTCTACGTATTTGATTGCTTTTAAGGAAATTAATGATGTGGTCTAGTAAAAGATGATGATGTCCTTTTTAACATGTTTATCGAATGCTTGAAAAAGATTGATTCTTATTTGCTCCCTCTCAGAGATCGGTATGTGACAAACTATTCGTCTGTAATTGGGAGATGCTGAAAGCGTGGAAGTTATGCGACAAACAAATTTGGGTAAATGGCGCTACAATTAGAGCTTTTATCACATCTTATTTTCATTCTGTTATTAACCCGATAGAAGGTGTTTTTCGGTTGTACGCATGTCTGTTTATTTCTTTTACTAATCATGTAACCAAAAGCTGCATATTGCGTGAAGTGTCGTTAGATTCGTTTTAATTTGCGGAGTTCTTAGTACGCTTTGCAAAAAAATTTATATTTTGTTGAACATCGTTATATTATACTCCTTGAAATCGTATTGGTATAGCTACCAAACTGAACCTGGGTCTAGGACCGCTGACTGTTTTCATTGTTATTATGACATTAAAGCCCATTACTTGACAGAAACATCTAATAAGGTAAAATATTTTAAAACTACAAAAAGCCGTGTCTTTTAATAACCAATATTACTTTTTGTCCTCCTTAAAATTTAAATTTTAATAACTTATTTTCATTCTAACTGGACTTAATTTTGGTGAATATAGGAGTTTAATTTACGTGTTAGAGCATTTTACGATAGCGGAACTCGTGTTACTTTGAAGCTTGTGGCGTTGTGAAGATTTTGGGGTTTTTTATATTTCTTTTTTATGTTTGTTGTTTACTTTAAGCCCTTTTCCGAGAAAAATCGCTCAAAACGTATTTATACAAATGTATTTTTGAAATAATTATTCGCTTATGCAATTAAGTAATTTATGTTACTCTCCTATTTTTTCTTTTCTTTCAGTGATTTAAAAAAAACTAAACAATGGGGAGTTAACTTGTTGCGGTAGTGATGTGGTACATTAAAATTTGCAATGGCACCACTGGTAGTTCCATGGGTACACTTTTGGATAACGTGCAAACATATAAAAAATTCTTTTTAAAAACTATTGGAATACAATTAAAATTAAATAATCGATACTATATAAGCGATTGTTTTATATTAATTGTTATGTTGCTTTGTTAGTTTTTGTAATACTTATTTGTTTTTCTTTTTGCATACTTGTTATAAATGTTTTATACAAAAGATACACAAATGTAACGTTAGTTCAAAATTTAAATAAATATTACAAAAACACTGATACTTAGTAAGGAAGATAACGAGAATTATTTAAAGCATTTATTTAGTGTAGTATGTTCAATGTTCATTTCAAAGTTCCTTATTTTAATTTGTATATTTACTGACGAAAAGCTTGTAATTTAATAAGAATATAATCTTTACAATCCTAAAATATATAATTTGGTGCTTATAAAAGCTTGTAAAAGTGGCGCGTGCCTGTCACGACAGTGGCCAGTAGATGTGTCGCTGCAGCGCTTCTATGAGCATCTAATTTGAAGGCGTCCGATTAATTGAAGTGGTAGATCAAGTTCTAAAATTTTTTTTAACATCTACTAGAAATTACTGTGACAATTTGTATATTATAGCATTTAAGAAACAGAATATGCCAACAGATCCTTCGTATATATATTCGTAGAGTGTAAGTTACTTATTGGAGTGAATGAGCTTATACCTTAGATATGCAAACTTTTTCTGTGGTAGATATAGATTTTTATAATAGATGAGCTATTGTAAACAATTAAAGTCAGCAAACCTAAACTAGTTGAACTATTCATTATTTTGTGCAATTGTTAGGTGAACCGTTGGAAATAATGTTTCTACGTAGCTACACTAGCAACCTATTTTAGAATTAGATTTTTTTCATGTATATTATCAATAGGATCACGAGGATTTGATTGGGAATTTTGAAGTTGGAAGTTGGTCCAAGGGAATTTTGATACTTTTCATCTTTTGCCTTTCTATTTTCACAGTAGAAGTATTAGATATTTTATAGAAAGAAGTAATGTTTGTAAAGTTAAAATGTGTGTGCGATAGAAAATCACTCTTAGATATAAATATAGGCTTTAGCAATTGTGATGATGTAGACATTGATATTAAAATAGATTTTGCAAAGCATTATTTTGTTTTCTTTCATACCTTTATTTTGAAAGCAGCAGGCCGAATTAGAGCAAAAGTTACCTCATTTAGACCTGAATTGTACTATTAGTATAACAAAGCCGCATGGGAAACGTCTTTATAGTGGTTTTATCTCAAGAAAGTTTAGAAAAAACATTAAGAAACTGATAGTTGTAGATATCTGTCCGGTTACATACTAATTAGTCATTAGAGTTTCTTTTAACTATGACTTTATTTACAGTCTTAGATAGGCTATTATAATTTGAAAAACCTAAGGAATTTATTTCATTCAAACTTGTAATTAAGACATTTGGAGACGGCAACTAATTCTTTTAACTATGATTCTGCCATAGTTCTTTTCTTATCAAGGTTGTTAATACGGTCGCAATACTTTGTCACACGGGTCTCGCGTAATTAAATACAAGTCTCAGTCTGAATTAATTTTATTGTAGAAATAAAGAAAGAGTGCAGGAAGGGAAAAGAACACGTAAAGTTAGGGGGTAAAAGCTATAACAAAACAATGATATAATAATCTCAGTACAGAGTACTAAAAAAACCGATCTCAACAGTACGTGGAATTACGCTAAGTTTTATTGAAATATCCCCTAGTTCGCCACTATACAGGACTTGACACTGGAGATAATAAAAATCGGTTCTCACTACTCAAAGTATATTGAGAGAGAAACGCCTTGAATTGGATAAATAGCAAAATCAACCATTAAAGTAATTGCTCCTAAATTAAAGTTAGGCGCTATTTATAAAAATGAATCTTCATGCGTGAGTAGCCACCCTTCGAGGTGTATGATTTTCTTCAAAATGAAATGGGACCACTATGGAGGTATCCTCTTTCCAACAAAAAAAGAATCATGAAAATCGGTTCACAAATACCGGAGTTATCACGTAACATACATACAAAAAAAAAGAACATAGTTGAATTGAGAACCTCCTCCTTTTTTGAAGTCGGTTAAAAACAGGTACAATCGTATAAAAACACTCCCTACTTAAATTAAATACGGGTTATGGTAAATATGAACTTACTCCAAAAGGGCCTGTAATTTCTAAAAATACTATGCTCTATAAGCAGATCGGTTAAATGATTTTCAATGGTATTACAATTTTCATACTTTTGCTTACGTTACATGACCTAACTGGTTAGAATTTTATTTGAAGTCGAGCATTGAACTCGCTTCGGAAATATAGTAGAGAGTGGCGATGGAAAGTAGAAAAGTAAGTAACGAAGAAGAAAAAGGAATTTAAGAACGATTCAACATTTCAAAGTAGGTGGCCAGGAACCAGAGAAAAGGATAATAAAAAGGTGGGATGACCATGTAAGTGATCGCATCCTCACAACTTTAACAATAGGTTAAAACCAGTGTGTGAATATGAAAGAAATTTGATGTCAAATCATCCTGCAAATTTGTATATACAATGCATATTTTGCATTTTTGTTATTTTGTGCTTTAAGATACGAGTTTGAGAAAGTAAGGCGGTGATAACATCGCATTTTCCTTTATTTCATACGTATGTGAGATTTAATAACTCCTTTTTTTCAATATCAAATGAAGGGACGAACAAGCCGTCTATCTAATGGTACATGACTTGTTCGCCACACGCTTGTCCAGTGCAGTGTATTTTTCATTAATTCACGTAATCCTGAACAGTAAAAAAATAATAAAAGCACCTAAAATAGGAAATGAAACTATTTTTCCGGGTTTAAATCGCGTATTCGCGGAACCTGTAAAGGGCCCGAAACGTCGGTTTGTTTGAAAAAACAAATATACGCGATTTAAATCCGTAAAAATAGTTTCATTTCCTATGTGTAACAATCGCGAAAACCTAAGAACTCGATAAGCACCTAAAATGTTATATTTTGAAACAGGTATATTTAAATAACGTACCCAAGGTATGGTATTGGTATTGGATTCGAAATTATAAGTCCAACTTCATTAAGTTGGACATACAATATTACTTATTTAATATTTACATATTCATATTCGCAATACAAATTGAAAACTCGACAACACTTGTCCACTATGTGGTATTCCAGAACTCTACTCAATGCTCAAGTCAGGACTTGAGCAGACTTGAGTATAATTTCAAGCAATGGAAATACGACCCTAATGGCAAGGACTTGAGTATGATTTTCAGTGCTCACTGCAATACTCAAGTCCTGACTTTAGTATTGAGTAGAGTTCTGGAATACGACCCTAAGACTCATTCGGTTGTTGGTTTCTTCATTTATTTAGTGGTGCAGAGTAATATATTGTATAGATTTATTATATCAATTTATGACCCTTAGACTTAAGTTTTTTTACTTCCCTCGTTTCATCTTTCGGTAAACGAATGACACTTCTCTCTTTATCCCGTTTAGACGATGATAAACAGCCGTACACAGCACAATTCACGACCATTATAAATAGTAACGTATAATGATATTATGTATTAACTTACAAGTTTCGTAATACATAAATAAAAACTATATTCAAATATCAAAGCCGTCATAGCGGAAAACAGCTCACCGACAGCCTTGTCGTTCAGTCAATGTGACCGTCAATGTGCGTGGCGTAGTGCGGTATTTAAAGCTAGGGAGGGGCGCAGAGTGTCCATTATCCAGTGGTCCACACGCTACGGTGCGTCTAGCTTAGACGCACCTTTACGTTGCCCCATGCTGGGCATTCGGTCAATAATAATAGAGAAGAGTAGGGTGAATTCGGACGCGGGGTAATTGTGTCTGAACACAATCGTTTCTAGAAGTCTAGTTTCCGCCGCGCCCCACTATCGCGATCTTCCAACACATTCACCATCGTTAGCAGACATAGGAAAAATTGCTTATTTTTTTAAACGTTTAAACGTTATGCTTTTTTTAAAAAAGCGTGCTTTTATTAAACGCTTTTTCACTAAAACGCTTTTTAGTTTGAAGCTTACAAAATCGTTTAGAAAACGTTTAAGTGCATAGACTTTTATGTTAAAAAAAGCTTACAACGTTGTTGTGTTGATAGCGAAACGCAAGAGTAGACCACTAAAGGTTATAATATAAGTAAGTTATTTTATAAAAAACGAATAATATGTTAATTTATGACATAACATTATTAATTTATTTTTAATTTTTTGGGAAACAAATAGTTTTTATTTTGTTTACAAGATTATAGTACAAAAAAAGTTATTACTTAAACCAGCAAAGTTTCCACTAATAAACATAACTTAAAAAAGAACGAAAAACTACTTGTTAATTTTTTTTAAACACAAAGAAAATAAGAAAGAGAAACATAAAAAGAAATAAACTAAAAAACAACTAACATAAATTATTGTTCATAAATGGACTTTACAAATTTTGAAAAGGACAAATAAAATATATCTACATCTAAATGATTCTTATTGTACGCATTACAAGCTCTAAACAAGAAAGCGTTACTTAAATATTTAGTTTTACAAGTAGGCACACAGAAGACACTTTTCAAACGAGAATTAGATCTAGGACATCTCAAATTAATATTATGTAATAAAAAACTAGAGTCAATCTTATTTCAAAAAATATTATATAGAAAGATTTGGTCCTTCGCAGCGCGTCGTTATTCCAGTGTTACTATGTCATGATTAGGAAACGACGGATGCCTATAACTTAATAGGTTCCTGAATTTATTCAGAATGCTCTCAATGCCAGAAATTTAGATATTGTACTTAGGGTTCCAAACTGTATATGCATATTCTAGAATAGACCGAACGAAACAATTGTACAATAGAATTAAAGATTCAGGATTACGAAAATCTCTGCTTGCCTTGGAGATAAAGCCAAGCATCCGATATGCGCTATTAATAATTTTATTAATATGGCCATAAAAAATCAACCTATCATCCAGAAGCATACCCAGGTCCCTCACCTCAGTCGCTCTATTAATTATAGTGTTATTAAGTATTTTATATTATTT